CAAAAGCATACAACAAAGAGCTCATTAGCCCGAAGGCAACTGACGGCTAAGAATATGAGACTTTAAACTGAAAAGTCTATCTGCATAGCTCTGCTCAAGTCCCGCCTGCAGATCTGCTCGGGCACATTCCTCAGAACAGCTCAAAATCTCTGCAGCTTCACTCTTCAACTTCATCAGTCCCTCCTGAGTAGATTCGAGCTCCTCGAGTACTTGGTCACGAGAACGCTCTAGTCCAATCAGGTCATCGGCAATAAGAACGGCGGATTCCTCGGTACGCTTCAAGGCCTCCCTCAACCTAGTCGCTTCCTCGCGATTCGAGTCCAAGGAGCGGAGCAACTCAGCTTTCTCCCTATCCTTCCTCGCCATGTTAGCCATTAGATGCGCAATGGAGCTCTCACGTGACTGAAGCTCACACCCGATGGAAGATCTCAGGTCACGCCACTGCGCCATCCTATGCTCCAACTCAGAGGACACGAAAGAAGAAGCCCCGGTAACCTCCAGTTCCTTCAACTCTCGTATCCCTGACTCCAGGGCAGCGAAATCAGCAGTGAAGGAATCAGCCAATTCCGGGTATCCTTCTTCCCTCATCATCGTCATGTGGCGAGAGAAGGAACGCCGGAACTGATCAAAGCCGCCTCCTCGGTGAAGAAGCTTCTCGATTAAGCCATTATAGAAGGCGGTGAAGAAACTGAGGTCCGTACGGAAAGCCTCCCTGTCAGGATCGGTGTCAACCAAAAGGCTACGGACACGCTCATATAGGGAAGACCGAGATCCTACAAGCAGAAACATAGAAGCTCAGTGGATTATCGAGTATGAAAAGGAAAGTCAAAAGGCAAGTTCTGAACATACCGACACCAACAGACGTCCCCTCGGGTTGAGGTCCGACAGGCTCTGGGACAGCAGCAGGAGAGGGTACGTCAGCCCCTGCAGGCGGATTGCTCGCACCACTCGGCAAAGACGGGGAGGCACCACTGCTATGAAGACTTTCAGCCCCGGGAACTGTAGCAGTATCAGGCTCAACGCCTGGTCCTACAATGAAACTCCTAGGTTAACCAAATGGAAATTTGGATAAGCAAGGAGAATTGGGACAAGAAGATCGTATGTATACCTGCAACCTCCCTGTCCTCAGATGCAGCCGGAATGCCAAGAGTCATAAGAGTATCGGCCCAAGCGGCTGGTCCTATGATGGCACTCTCTTATTAGTCAAAATGAAAATTTAGACGAATAAGAAGGATTGGGATAGTACGGTCATCTGCATACCTGTAGATCCTTCATCCGTAGGCATTTGAGGGATGCCAGGAGTCATATGAGAATCAGTCCTAGTGGCTGGTCCTATGATTGCACTCATATATTAGTCAAAAGACGGATGAACATAAGAAAGTACGATATCCCTAAATCGTATGCATACCTGCAAGCCCGTCACTCTGAGGCAAACTGGATATGCCAGGGATAGATACCGGGCTAACTCCAATGGTTGACGCTGCGATAATCAATTATTCATTAGTCAAATAAAAGATCGGGCAAGAGAAAGAGAATCAGATATGTACCGGTAGATGAATCGTTCCCGAAGAATGGTCTCTCGGTCCCTCTGGAAGTCTGCTCAGCCAGCATGTCAGCTAATAAGCCGGCATCCGGCTTCGAGAAGCTTGGCCCCTCCATCACAACATCTGCAGGGTAACCTGAGTGTTGAAAGATGAGGAAAGCTCGAGGAGATACTTTCAGCAAAAACGGGAAGTCTTCCTTCCCCATGCTTGAGGAAAATGACATTGAATGTGGATATACCTGAATAAGGGATTGTGGGCTCAACATTATTTATCTGCTCAAGATCGATGTTAAGGTCGATGCCCAAAGACCCATCGTGAAGAGCGTCACACATTTGTTGCACAAAGCAATCCATGTTATCAGCACCAGGAGACGCCAAACCCGGTGAGAGTTCGCCCTCTTCGAAGGAACCTGGAGCACAAAACATGGTTACAAACCCCAAAAGGTAAACAATCCTGAAGCAAGAGCAATTGAGTGTTACCTGCCCCTCCATCAGCGGTGCTTCCTAAGTCTGCTTCGTAAGAACGCTGACCGTCGTGGGGTTTATGAACAATCTTCTTCCTCTTTGAGGCACCAGCCCTCCGAGGACCAAAGGGTCGAACATGCGCAGGCCTATCACACGTTTCAACGTGTGTAGGAGCTGGTGGCTCATGATCATCGGCTGTCCTACCTAAAGTGACAATAGCCATTTCAATAAAAAAAAAGAAGAGCTGTCATTTATGGAAAAGGAAAATTAAAAGAGACGAGACAAACCGGTATCGAGATCCCCTCTGCCGGTACCTGCATCCACATACTCTTCCTTGGAGGTCTCATCATCATCATCCGTAGGGAGGAGCTCTTCTTCGTCTGTGAGAAGAGCTTCTTCGTCTGAGAGAAGAGATTTGGCATGTCCTTTTTTCCGCTTCTGAGCAAGCTCAGCCCTGCGACCAGCCATCATAGCAGCCCGGACCGCGTATTCGGACTGTAATTCTGAGAGGCTCCTCACATTGATGGACTCATATGCAGAAAGGAACCACTTGCAGCTGAGGAAAGTGATCAGTGGCTTACGCCGATATGAAGGGAGAGCGAAATGGGCTCCAGTGCAGCCCACCATCGTCCATAGCCACGCTCGTACGCCATCAATCAATCCTCCTTTAACCTGCGGCTCGGATTCCCGACATACAGTTGGTCATAGCCGAATTGTCGAGCAAAGCGGCAAGGGAGATAAGGCTCTATGTAGCACTGGTTCTTCACCCGAAGGACAAGATATCCTACACGGATGTTCACTAACCACCGGAAGCAACCCGCATCAAGAATGGTCCGGTCACTTCTAGGTTTCTCCTCATCAACCAGTGTGTCGCCATAGCGACCTGAAAAGTGAGGAAAGCACTTAAAGAACTCCCAACTCTTGCGGACCCGAAGCTCTCGTTGAACATCGCTGAATTTGCTCCCAAGCCATCTGCTCTGCTCCAACAGTTGCATGAAGGGGACAGGAATGTCAACAACGCTGGGTGCTGACATCAAGTCGGGACGGTGAAGAACGAACCACGCCATCAAATATGCGTAAGGGAGCTCAACCTTCGGACTAACAAGCTCAGCTGATGGTTCAGAACCCATATGTGTGAAACTGCTGACCAGACCCCTGAGCCCGCAATGGATGCTAGCAACCATTGCTGGGAGCAAGGAAAGCTCTCTCCCGTAAGCCAGCTGAACTGCAGGGAAGAGCACCTCGATGGGCAGAGCGTCAGAAGGCTGATGCGGGATGACGCACTTCTTCAACCAAAGAGCAAGGTAACCTGCTAATAGAGTCCGGGGCCCAATGGACTTCTGTGCACGGCAGAGAAAAGAGCGAAACTTGGTCCCCGCAGGAAAAGCTCCCTCAGCATTGGCGATGGTGTAAGATTGAGCCTCAGCCTTTTCCAGCAACTCATTAATCGCAGAAGGGGTCAATATGTCTAACTCATGAACGGACTCGCCGGAGTTACCCTCCAAGTTCTGGAACAAATAGCAGGCAAACTGCTTCAAGCTGATCTTCTTCTTCGTTTTTGCTTGAGGAGAAGTCAGGATCAAGGGATCCCTGGGCAAAGACCACGAATATGGTGATACCCGCCAGAACCAGGGGTCTTAGAATGAGAGGTATACCCACACGGGACTCGCTCAACATCCTTAGTAAGATCCCAGGACATCTGTCGCCTCACGGCCTGTCTCCTCAAATGGGTAAAAGAATATTGGCGGGGAATTGATGGAATGTATAAAAGAGCTCCTCCATCAAGAGTCAGCCAGTGCTCCTCTCCAAGAGTCAGTATAGCGGGGTCCTCGACATGATCCCCGAACAAGAAGCTCGGCTTCTGTAAAGCCTGAGTGGAAGTAGAATCAGCGGTAAAAGTGGCGTCTGTGATAAGCTGGCGCAAGCAATGGCGCCCTCCTTCCCGTACTAAACGGCAGGAATCGTCAGAACGATCCTAGTCAAACTGTGGGAATGGGCTAATGACTTGCCCAATGGAAGTGGAGGAAAAAACCTCCCGGCTACAACCGGCATTGGCATGAGCAGGAAGACTACCCGCGGGGAATTCAACTGCAATAAAATACAAAAGATGGAGTCAGAAAATCCGTCTCATAAGTAGAATGATAAGCTCATTCACGGAATAATTGGAGAGACGATTTTGAGTGTCCTACACCGGAAGAACGGTATGCATCATCACGTGAACAACGTGGCAACATATACCGAACTACAAGGTGTAAGACAACACAAGAATCGCCCCAATATATCCGAAGACTTGAATTGGCTAAGCAAAACAAGTCTGAAACCTTACCCTCCGCGAGAGAGGTATCGGTTCTTCCTTCATGACCCGCAAAGAAGTCAATCAGGGGTGCAAGAAAAAAAAAATCTACATGAATTCTCACCCTGGAAGAAAGAGGCTACTGAGGAAGATACAGCAGGAGCCTCCTCCTCACTGTGCTGCGAATGGGGGCGACTCCTGGAAGGTCGGGGACGACGCGGAGACATCGCAGATCTGCAACAAAAAGCAGCAAGTCAGGTACAACATAAGAACACGAAGTTTAAAAAGGGAAACTAAGAACTTTAATTAAAGTCCTACGCATAAGTAGGATTTCATATTTGAAGTCTAGTTAAACCTACAAATTTCGTGCATGCGAAACAATGATTGTCCTTTTTGGCGGTGAATTTTGGTGAAATACCCAAAATACCCCCCGTGCCCAAGGCCAAATTTAGGTCAAGGACACGCGTGATCGGGGTCGTGATCCCCACATTCGATCATATAGCACCCCGGTACCCCCACCATTTTGGTTAAATTTTGCAAATAAGCCCTTTTGCAGAATTTAGCCAATCTTGCATAAAAGCCCCTCTACAAATTTTGCATTTGGCCTCCACATGCATTTATCAAAAATTTGATCAGGGGCTTGGGGTTTAGACCCTTTGGATTTCAGCCTCGATTTCACAGCCCTTTTTTTTTTTTGCAAATAAGCCCCTCCAAAACGGTTAGGGGCTGTTTTGCAAATAAACCCCTCAAACAACTCCTTGATCCTATTGCATAAAGCACCCCCACATCCCTTCATCAAGTGGACATAAACCCAATACCCAAAATTTCAGTTCCACTTTTGCAAATAAACCCCCACGAATTTTCAGTCCCCTTTTGCAAATAAGCCCCCCAAAATTCGGCCATTTCACCTCTTTTGCACAAAGAATCCCAAAACATTGTGCATACACAACCCTAGCCTACCATAAGAGTAAAGATGCAATCTTTATCAAAAAATGAGAGGATTGTAAAGAGGAGCTTACCCAAATCAAGAGGATTGAGAACCCTAATTCCAAGAGCCAAGACTCGAGCTTGAAGGAGGGGTAAGAAGCTCTAATTAGAGGAGACCAATTTCGGCCAATAGAGGACACCCAAAAATCCGAAATTTTCTTTTGAGAGAGAGAAACAATGGAGGAAAGCTCTTGGGGGAAGGAGAACTCTCAAAACCGAAAATGAGGAGGGGGAATTTCGGTTTTGAGCTAAAGAGGAGGGAACCCTCTCTCTTTTGAAATTTGAATTAAAGAGAGAGGGGGGACCATGAGCAAAAGACAAGAGAAGAAAAGGCCAAACAAAGGGGGGGGGGGACCACGGAAAAAGCCAAGACACCCCATGGGGGGTCTCGGCCAAACCGAGACACCCCAAGGGTGTCTCGGCAAAGCCGAGACACCCCAGGGTGTCCCGGTTTTGTCGGGACACCCCCGGGGCGTCTTGAATCTGTTTTGACTCCCGAACCTTGTTTTGACCCCTAAACTGTTTCGACTCTCCACCAATCATTGAAAGTATTGATGAAGTCCACAATTCAACTTTCGACGATCTTAAAACCCTAGGGTGGACGCCGGTTAACGCGTAACCCTAGGTCAACGCCAGTCAACGCGCTGCGACAAAAGTCAACGTATGACGATCCAAAACCTAGGGTGGACGCCGGTCAACGCGTAACCCTAGGTCAACGCCAGTCAACGCGTTGCGACAAAAGTCAACGTATAACGATCCAAAACCCTAGGGTAAACGCCGGTCAACGCGTAACCCAAGGTCAACCCCAGTCAACGCGTCGCGACAAAAGTCAACGTTTGACGATTCAAAACCCTAAGGGTCAACGCCGGTCAACGCGTAACCCTAGGTCAACGCCAATCAACGCGTTGCGACAAAAGTCAACGTTTGACGATTCAAAACCCTAAGGGTTGTTTTCGGTGAAAGTCGGTGTTTTCATTGCTTTTGAATCTGTTACAACTTCAAACGTTGCAACAAGAATGCAACCAAAACAAAGATTACAACTTTATCGAAAATAAACACGAGATCCCGTTTTGGTGCGGTCTCGCTTGCGTGGGTCTTTGGCCTGTGACGGGGATGTTGATATCCGTGGACCACCGGGGGCATCAGATCCGGTCCGGATAAATCGGACAGAGTTTCGTCGATCCGCGTGAGATCTAGAAACTTCTAATCCAGAAATATCGGACAGAACTTCGTCGATCCGCGTGAGATCTAGAAGTTCTAAGCGTATACCTCGGCTAAAGCGAGGTATTAGCTCTTCTTAGTATTAACGCTAAAGGCTAATACCAAGGAAGGATGAGAACGGGTGATGAAGGCTGATTTAGACCTCTCCTC